AATGGTAAAACCTTGAGAATGTTAATAGATGAGACTCTCATATTTTTCAATGTAGAGTCCAAATGTTAACATGAGAATGTAATTCTTTAAATAGTGACTCTATTTTATTGATTCTCTAATAAATTTTACCAACATCAAATATTTTTAATTTATAACCAGAATATATTATTACAAGTATAATAAGGTTATCTGTGATTATAAATATAATAGTGATAATTGTTTCTAGGAACATTAAATTGTGAAATTAAATTATAATGATTTCAGTATTTAATGTCTCTTAATCAACCTTTTATCTGTTAAATTTCCACAAATATAAAAGTTTTTTGAAATATTACCTAATCTATATGAGTTAACTTTCTTATATCATTCAATCTGCCATATTAATAGTTTATACTATTGTTTAAAAATGTGAGTCCTGTTTTAGAGGCAATTTCCTAGACAAAAAAAGGTTTTCTATGAATATTTCACAAAAAAAAAAAAAAAATAAAGGACTGAGGATATAGCTAGTGACACTGCACCTGCCTGCAAATGAAAGGTTCTGGGTTCAATTCCTAGTATATATATATATATATATATATATATATATATATATATATATATCAGAGATGTTACATTACAGTAACAAAAGCATCAGGACTATATTCTGAAATTTAAGTTTTGATGAAATTACATAAATTTCTTCAATTTCAGAATGTTTCAAATAAAATGTGTATTAATAAAATGTGATAAAATTATGCAAGTAATTCAATAAAGTTTTCATAATTTCCTACAACTAGACTATGATTTTTTACTGTGTTTACATGGCAATATTGAATACAATATTTTGCTTTTAAAAAACACATCTTGTGCAAAAGGCTTCTGAATAACAAAAATGCAGCAGGAATTTAAACTCTTTTGAGTTTCCCAAACTTGTTTTTCTATGACAGAAAACTTCTTTGTGGACCAGGAATTAAAGTATAAATTTGAGTGAACCTATTGGTATATAAAGTTCCAAAGTATTTTCTGTGAAAAAACTCAAAAAAGAGACATATCTTTGATGTGTCCTGTTATTCAAATAATTTATATTTCTAACCAAATCCAATTTTAAAAAACTAAAAATCTATACCAATGAACAACAAAAAATGAAAATTTGAATACTTTGGCAGAGTCTTCCATTCTTAATGAAAAACAAATCTAGTCAAAGTTAAAATGCACTATTGAGATTCCAACAAGAAAGCTATTATTTCTATTTTGCTTTTACAATGTTTGGAAGCAGAGTTATATAAATATACACATAAATATGCACATAATATGAAAATGAGTGTTAGCAAAAAGACCAGCACTCTTCCTTCATGCAAAAGGAGGACATACAGGGTGTGAACTGCAGTTACATTGTTTCAACTGTTTTGAGGTTATTATTGTATAGAGTGTATGTACAGAAATTTCTATATTGTGTTAGTAGTGTGAAAATATATCTAAAGAGTTTAAATGAATACTAAGAAAGAAGGAGAGGAAGAAAGAAAGAAAGAAAGAAAGAAAGAAAGAAAGAAAGAGGAAGATTCAAAGAATATTGACTGCATGAAGTGTAAGCTAATCTGAAGAATGAGAAGTATTATATGTAACAACATCTATATTTGTTTCATTTGGAGCATTTTAATTTACTTTTCTTTAGATAATAATTGAAATTATTCTAATTAAGCATATGTTCTTGAGCTCATCCGAAACAAAGTAATCCAGGACTCTGAACTGAACTGGAAGAATATGGAACCTGTCTCCCAAGGGAGACTGACAGCATTTTGGATTGTACCTCTATTTGTGCAGATGATATCTATATTACCAGTAAAGATATGATTAATGGAGTCCCTTTGTAATAACTTAAACAACCTTCTGTAAATTGAAATTTTTAGGTTTAAACAGCATGAGGGGCATTCAGGTAAATGCAGCATAAGAGTTTATAATTAGTCTGACATTTCTAGACACAATTAACTTGCAGATTCAAATAGTTGATTTACATATATAAATATCATCATGCACTGACAATTCATAATCTTCTTTTGAAAACTGTAACTCTATAATAAGTCATTCTCGGGTAGATATCAATTCTCTTTATGGCTACAAACTCAACATACATGCACTTGTGACATTCAGAATATATTTAGTTAATTACTAAAAATGTTTCTAAGCAATAAATTTCCTTGCCTAGTAGTCTTATAGATTTTGTATGGCTTTAAGATAAAATACAAATGCCTCAAGTCTCTAATTAAAGAGAAAATCTAGCAAACTAATTTTATATTGGAGATCTCTTTTACAGTATCTAAAATATTTTTGTTTTTTCATGGAACGCATTCTCTTCCATATTTTTATGGCAGATCTTTTAAAATCTGACATTTAGGGAGTCATCTGTAGATGAACATGGAGAAATTATTTTATTTATACCACTGAAGATAAAGAACCAAACTTGAAAGTTGTTATTCAAGTATTTGAATATAAATTAAATGAAATAAATATTTGCCATGGACATAATGTTTTGTATATTACAGAGCAATTGGATGACATTATTACAGTCATAATCCCATGTATCATTTTTATTAAATGTTCAAAATATAGATTTGAACATCCTCCCTGAAAAGCAAACAAGTCAGGGCAGGGATTGAAGAAAACTACCACATTTAAAAATTTTTTAAAGTCCCAACTCACGTGGATTGGTCGAAATATATACTCACAGTAACGTTTTTGTTTAAAAGGGCATGCATCTCTTTTAAGAGCTATTTGTATAAACCATTTATTTTCCATTATTTTAAGAAAGTGTTGCTTAAATTGAGGTATTTTTGTGCCATAAAATGTTTAAATTGAATAGATTTAATTTTAGGTCCAGTCAAATGTGTAGCTGTCAAGCATTTAATGCTGAAATACACTGCCTTAAGAAATGTTACTTTAGAGCTGTTTGCCTTTTAAATTCTAACAGTCTGTGTATCTATTTGTCTAGCCGCCATCAAGGAGACTATTGTAGCTTGGGGCGTTGGTACGAAGATGACTTGAGGGCTACATCATGTCAAATCCTCAAGTAGGAATTACTGCCTTTTTTGCCTCAGTTCCCAGCTGTATTATGTCACCAAATCACATCACAGTGTAATCAAAGATGAATAAAATATTTTTTCTTTTCTTTAAATGCTTTTTCTGTCAATTACAATCAAAGAACATGATTTCAGGTCTGTCAGCTTATGAGGCTCTTTCCTCCTGATGACTAAAGCTGTAATCTGCTAAATATAAAATGAATCAGAAAAGTCTTAGAATGATTTTGCTATTAAGAAGAAGATTTTTTTTTTTTTGCCTGCCACCGGGGACAAAAAGTAATTGGTCTTTAAAGAATGAAATCAAAGATTTCTGTTTTCAATGACCCCTTTGGTTTTTATTCTTTTATGCTCCTTAATGTTAAATGTTCAGTTGCAGCACAGGTTTGTTTTCTGAGCAAATATATATAGTTCTCTAATCAAACTACATAATTCCTTGTCAATATTTTATTAGCCCCTTGTCTTTATATAACCAAAACTTCCTTACCATGTTACCGTCAATTAGGTGCCCTGTAATATTACCAGTAATTCTCCAACTCTGACTTCTAGACTGGTTTCTGGCTTGATTACATTATTAACCATAATCAAAAAACATTTTCCCAGAATGATTTTAGCTTGGAAGTTGGGATTGCTTTCTTTGATCTTCTTAGCGTTATTTTACGATAGGTTGCTCCTCATTTACACTACAAATGCTGGCAAAAATGAAAGTGGTATCTCTGCTAGCAATGCCTGATAAAATAAAATAACTGGTTTAGCAGTCTCTGCCAGCTGCTTTCGTTGATGGAAACCGGGTTGTTTATAATGGGGCAGACTGTAAATGTTTGCCACCATGACAAGCATTATATACTGTAAGGAACCTCTGCCTCTTTCCTCAATTAAATTTTTGTTATATCTATTTTTAACCTTATTATTTGTGAATAAAAACACTTCCAGTGGGTGCCACACCGAATAATTCTCGAGTGCTAATTTCCAGAACTACTCTTACTTAATAAATACTGAGGCCAATATATTGCCTACAGAGTTTCTCATAAACATTTTTCTTTGCACAACCACTTATTCATTATAGTGAGAAATACATAACTAGTCATCTTGTTATGGTATATTAGGATGTTTCTATTTGTTAGAATGAGAGCAAAGAAATCACAGACACTTGTTACCCAGTATGCTTCTGTCATTTTAGCATGCGTGTGTGCACACACATACATGTGCAGAAATACCAGCCTGAGGGAAAAAAAGCATCCAAAAACTGCACATCACCTAACATTACATGTAAGGGTAATGTCATGTCTCATTCCACAACACAGGATTGTTTCATATCACTTGAAATCACATATCACACTCAGAGAGATTTTTGGGATTTTTGCACACGGATATGTGATCTGTAATCTCACAGGATATTAGTGTTCACTCATACATAAAGCACACTCAGGATTTTATATCTATTAGTAATCACACTAGTTTGTAAAGCTGGAGAAAACATACCACATTAAAGCAACAACAACCCTGTATGATACTTGGTGGAATTTTGTTCTTATTCCACAAACGAAAAATGGAGTACTAATCAATTTATTGACAAAGCAAGGGAAAAAGCTGCTCCTAAGCAGGCCTAGCATCTAGGATTCCTTGAAGCAAAATATGTGTCAGAAAAGTGTAGCATCAAGCTTTACATATAAATAAAAGTGTCTAGAAAATTGACGGTGACTTTATTTTTTAATAATTCTTAAGTGTATAATTAATATTGAATATAGGATACTATATTTGGAAAGCTTTTCACATAAGTCTAAAATTTTTTTAAGTAATAACACTAATTAAAATTTCTTTAAGTACTAGCTCAAATTCTGATTTCCGTCACTCAACTTAATTTCATTCAACAAAAAAAGAAAACAACCAGCAGAAAAATTTGTTCCCTCAGAAATTTTTTTATGAGTTCATACAAAAATGTGTACTCACTAGCAGGAAATCTTCTGTTTAGGAGGAAATCTGAATGAGATCTCAAAGTCAATGGACTGAGGGCTGATGTTACACTGGAGGCCAGCCGTCAAGCAACAGACATACCATCTAGGCAGGAAGACCTGTAGACAATGGTGTTCACAAAGACAGTCCTTACACATGTGCAATTTTTTTTACAATACTAGATTCAGAGCTTTTAATACTTTCTAGATTTGAAACAATCATTTAAATTGTCTGAGAATCTCATCTACACATAACAGTGATATTTCCTATCCCACTGAGTTTCTTCAAGGACTACATAGAATTATATCCTCTAGCTCATATTAACTGTAGTATCACTTATTATATTTTATCCTAATTTTATTCCTTTCCTATGAAAATGTTGGTTACCCGAGACATCACAAGACAATATATTGCTCATTTTTAAAATCCTCTTCATTTAGTCCCTATAATATATTTCAGACCCTTGAAGCCTTTTGATTAGCCGAGTGTCTAGTTGAATGGAGAAATTAGTAATCGTGCACAAAAAAGTAAAAGGAAAATCCAGCATATTATTTAGTAAATTTGATTAATTTATAGATAAACACTAAATATTACTTTACTTTCTCCTTCAGTGTTTTGTTCAATTAATATTTCCAAAATCTTGTTCTTTATACATGCTTTCTACATGATTTTTGCCACATTTATTCACACATACCAGTTCTCCCCAAATTGTCTTCTACCATATGAAAAAAATGATTAGATTTACCTGGGTGTACCAACCAGGATGCTGAAATCACAAAGAAAGAGAGGATCTCAACTGGACTACCTCCACTTCACGCCTCAATGAACCCAGGATATCCCCGTAACCCATTATGGCGCCTGACTCACAGGGAAAAAGCTCAGAAGACTGTTTTCCCTAATATTATTTAGTGAAAATTAGTTTAAGTGTTGTCCTTAGAGTTAACTTTGTCATACTTCTAGTGTCTGTAATAACACAGATTTTCTGATCTATTTTTTGTTAGCAAACAATAATAAGTGACTTCAAGAATCTCAGTAATTTATAGAGTGTGAATTTATTTCTCACTTGCCCGAATGGCTACTGAGATCTAGAATGCTCTCCAGAGACTCTGCTCTCCTCACAAAGAAGAGTCTTCCCATGTGTAATATCACATTGGTCATTGTGTCAGCAAGAAGATGCCAGCGTGAATCAAATGTTGATTATCAAAGAACTCTATCCTAAATGCTTATTGTTATTGGAAACAAGAGTATAAAGGAAATCCCCCTATGTGACTGTTATATCAATAACCAACCTTAATGACTATTCTTTATTTCCTTTTATTTTTCCTGTTTGAGTAAGGTTAAGCAAGTCAGAGCATAAGGTAGGATACATAAACAATTATACATCAAAAAATAGAATCAAGTATTTTATGAGCTAGATATTTAGAATATAATTATTCCACCTCAGCTTTTCAGTGGAAAAATATTGGCATAACTTTACAATAAAACTCATAGTTATTGTTTCAACATCAATATAATAGCTGGATTATTTTACTTTTCAGTGTTGTTACCTAACTATCATTTGCAGACTAAATTATTTTTTTTTCAAAATCTGAAATTGTCTTTAAAACAATTGTGCATTAAATCATGCAAACCATTTTTAAAAAATATCCTAACTCCATGGGCAAGAAGTGAGTTTAAGCAAGCACAAGAATGCTGTTACTCCAAAGTATTTTATTGAAGCATAACATCTCTCAGTGGCAGATGCAGCTGCCTTGCAGTCTCATGGTAGACATACCACAATCACAGCCATTTCCCTGCGTTATGGTATTGTTACCTATCTTCCAATGATCCCACATCACATTCTCAGTGCACTATGTTTAAGTAACTACCTAGCAGACCAGAGTAGTCTGACTAGTTAATCAAGTGCAAGTCACCAGGCAAAGCCATACAGGTTGACAGCAAGTAGATGACATAAAAATTCCCTTAGAGAAGCACATTGTTACGAATAGAAATGCATCAAGGTAAAGTGTGTGATTTTTAAAAATACATTTTAAGTAGGAGTCTGCAAAGTATCTCATAACAAAGTTTCTGGATATTTTATTGCTTTTTTTGCTTTATACTGGATGTCTTAGTACTTCCCTGTCTCCTTTAATGGAAATCACATAAAAATTACACATTCTTTATTCCACATACAATGTCTGCACTGACAGGTGACAAGTGGGTAGGCAAGTCTAAAAGACATGTGCCCTATATTATTAAATGTCCTGTGTACCTTGATGATACACAGTGTGATCCAAAAGAATGTGACCCAAATTTTCAATATGGCAACCAATTTCCACTTTATACACAAAGCAGATATGGAGCATGAAAATTCCTGATGGAACATGCATCCTCCAACCTGGTAAATGCAACAAGATTAACAAAAATATTTTAAAACAGCCTGTAATTATAAAAGTGTTACTTGCCATTGCATAATTATTGAATAAACCATATAAGATACAACTGTTACTCAGTCACAGAGGCCCTCTTCACACCGTACCATATGGCTAATGGCTTCCATCTCACATCGCACCATACTGAGTATTCCTTCTCATCATACTGTATTGGCTACAGACTCAGTCTGCAGTTAATGTGTATGTTACCCTTTCACTGCATGTTTATTTTATGAGATAGTGGCGTCTGTTTTTGGTGTTGATTCTAAAATGATAAACTACGATTTTTATACCCTAACCAGTAAATTACCTCAATGTTAATTTTTTAAGATAGATTTCAAATATAATTTCTGTTATCTTTTCCCCAGTTGCACCTCCAAATTCTGGCCTTTTGCATTTGATAAATATTAACAATGGAAGTCTATATTTATTATACTATCATGGCATGTGCAAAAAGCTAAATTACATCATATACTGGTGTTTCTGTGGAGATTTGACCAGTAGACTTGTTCTCTGTGTCTACCTTAAGTCCGTAACAGGTTGAGAGAGTCACAAATAATTTAGTTCCAGAATCTATCTTCCACATACAGTTTCCATGGATATCTCTGTGGGCGTCTCACAGCAACCTCTTACTGGATATCAGCACATGTTAGAATATTCCAGACACATATCTCTACTATATTGTTTTCTAACTGAAAAATAATTGAATAATTCATAGTTTTGTTTTTAAGGATTTTCAAAACATAAAATCAGATTGAAATCTTTTTAAAGTAGTTCATTGATATAATTTTAAACCATAAGCAAATATTTCCCCCATTTATTCATATTTAACAAGCATCTTGGCTCCCCCCCCCCCCCATGAATTTCCAGACCAGATGTTTTGGCACTGATTTTAAATTCTAATACGATCTGAATGGAAGGGATGAAATCATCTCTGGAGTAAGGAGGCTAGCCATCACATCTGAGAGTGAAAAAATAGATAGTAAAACACCCGTGATTAACATCGCACTCACTTTGGCTAGAAATAAAAGGAAATGTGAGAAAATGAATTTTGTTTCACTTTGAATGTTTCAAAGATATGGTTTCAATTTCATGGTAGGAAAACCTATTTCTAGTTGACAAATTTTCTGTTTCTAAACATTAAGAATGTTGCAAGTTAAGGAAAAAAAATGTTTACCCTCTTTGTGTTTAATCAAATTTGTTGATGGCAGAAATTAGCATGACTAGTGCTTAGCAGAAAATCAAGATGATTACTCCCAACATGTCCCAGCTTTGAAGAACTCAACATGTGCATTTTGTATTTCAGTCAACATAATTTTAGAACACTTTGGATTCAGCTGTTTCAAGGGTGAAGAGAATAAATGATTAAGTTTTCCTTGCTCAAAGGGGAATCAGTTAATGATGAAATAAATTTGAGAATTAAATTAGTTTGAGATACAAGCTTCATATTCACCCACATTCGTATTTAAAACCAACGAGCAAAGGCCTCTCGGATTAGAAAGCACAAAATAAAAATGTTGGTCTCTAGTTTCCTCATTTCTAACAGAGAATTCTTACTTTTGTTAGACCACCTATTTGTTGCATGAAATTTGTGCATTTGTGGATTTATTTATGATATATCCTGAAACTGTAATTACCTTTTCTTAAATGGGAAATGAATAAACCTTGGTTCACTCTCAGTTCTGAATCAATAACTGAGCAAGTTCTAAGCTGTACTTAAAAAATAGAACACAAAGAACATCAATACTAACAATCTAGATTAGTATTTCAGTATTTTCTTTCTAAACCAATTCAATATGTACAGATTGCCACTACCTTATATTACAAAAGCATATAATCTGTATTACAATAATTTTTTGCCCACACAATATACTTTATTAGATAGAACATGTTCTAAATGATTTGTGCGTGGGGATCAGAGGAATAATGTATTAAGAGTATGATCATGTATTTTATGAAGTTCTTCTGGTTCTTTTTTTACATTAATATTAATCTAGCTATGAATTATTTTCTTTTAGGTAGCCAGTGATGAGAAGCAGCAGTGATAAAGGATGCCTTTACTAATTGTCTGGTTTCTCCCTGATTTTTTTGCTTTAAAGAATAAAGAAAGTCTGGTTTATTTCTTTTTCCTTTAGTGAGCAAGAAATAAGTCTGAAAATTCATGTAAGATATCTTTTTAAAAAGCTTCGATGATTTGTCACCAGGGATGATTAGCTTGATCTAATTTCTCTGTCTTATAGACACTAAGGATACAATTTCTGCTACGACTACAGCAGTAAACCAACTGAATTAACGGCCATGAATCGCTGCTACTTCACTAGGTTACTAAGGTCTGGCTCCTTGGCACCATACACTTGCATTATGTCTGATCCTGCAGCGATGTGGGGTATGCTAGGGCAACAGGATGCCCATAGCAAATAAGTTGTTTCAATGCAGCTAATGGTACCCTGGTGCCCAGGAAGTGTTAATTTACTTCACATGAATGAACAGTCTACTTCCAGACAGCAGTTTACCCACCCAGGCTCACCATAGGGTTGGCCCATTATTAATAAGGCTTTCACCACAGTTCACTTCCACAATGGGTCCTGCCTTTGTTACACCGTTTTCAGAGTCATTTGCTTCATTGATATCAAGATCTTTCCTTGTTTACCCAAGATAGACATAGTATTCAGGCTCATGATAAAATTTATGAATTTATAACACAGGTA